TTGTGTTACGAACCACAGTATGACCTAATCGGCAAATTGTCGAAAACCAAAAACAAAACAGAACTGTTTAAGTTGATACCAACAGTACATGTATTGATATAATTAGTACATTTCCTATGTTTCCATAATGTATTCATTGAATAGTTTCCAATTTCATGATTACTGTTCAGGATTAGTGTTTAGGATTAGGATTTAGGATTAGTGTTGTTCATCAGTTTATCAAAGAACTTGACAGAGATTCGCTCAACTTCATCTTTTATATAATCCAATTCCTTTCTGTCATAGAGGAGGCTAGTTCCTTGTGCGGCAGTTCGAAGAGGTAGACTAGATTAGATTGCATCAGGGCCGGCCTCTTTACCTGTGCACCGTGACCAGTATTGGTCAATTGTGCATCTCCATTTTTTAATCTAGAGCTCCTCGTTAAGTTTGAGGCTTTTTACCAAACCTCAAAACATTTTAAGGGCTCAGCCTATAGACCATCGCACCAATAAAGGACACGTTTGCTGTTTCTTCTTCTTCTTAGCAATATCTGCGCTCTTGCTTCTCCCACTCTGAGTCTATACATATGCTTCTGGAGTCTGTAGTGTCCAGTTAGCAGTCCAATTATTATTCTAGTCCTAGCGAGTTCTAGATTTAGTAGTTCGCCGTTAGTTTCTGAGATGGTCCTTTGATAAACTTTTTCGCATGCCTCTGTTCCGGGATACATTCCCATTGAGCAGAGGACTTATTATTAAGCCATTATCTAACGGATCCGCGTTTTTGGCAGTTTGGTAAACCTCAAACGGGTTTAGGGCCAATAGGTGTCTTCATTGAAGTTTCTTTGGCCAATTTATCGGCCTCTTCTTGCTCTGGCACCCAGACAAGGGTAATTTTGTTATTTTCCCCAATGTCTGGCAAGGCTCTGATGCAGTACCAAATGACTCTGGACTTTACCGTCGATGCGGCAATTCCCTTCAGAGCCCTCTGGCTGTCCGAGTAGACGGTATGCTAATAAGGATACTAGGAAGCGGGGTTTGTGCTCCCCAGGCACTGCAGCCTTCTGGCTTGTTGTACCTTCCTATTTCCTTAGTTCAGTGCAATAGACTCAATCCTTCTCCTTAGAAGTATAAGGTCATAGACTGTCGCTGCTGCAATTTGATTCCCTAAGTTTTTTCCATGTTAGGTTAAATCGCCATTAAGCAGTTGCTTCGCATTCGAAGATGATATAGGTGGCTGTTTCCTCCTCCTCATTACATAATCTGCAGATTGGATTAGCGTTGTACATGCCCATGGTAGATGTTTTCTCAAATGAGAGTGACCGGTTAGTAGTCATACCACTCATCTGAGTTTAGCCCTCTCCAATTGCAGCAGTGATTTTGCCAGTCTTGGTGAGGGTTGTTTCATCATAAGTTTACTGTGTCTAGCGCCGCTATTGTTTATTCACTCCTCCTTTTGTTTTGTTTGGATCCATTCTGCGATGGAGGATTCTATATTTGTTTTTGTTATCCCAAGTATAAGTTCGGGGCTATGTATAGTCTTGCAGATCCTCCTCTGACAGTCTGTCTGCTTTGAGTAGGTTATTTCTTCTTTTGATGATCCCTAGCCTTTTTATCTCCCTGGCCCAATGTTCAATAGCCACAGTTTCCACTTAAAAGACGGTGGCATATTGTCCAACGCTTATACGGAATCCGAAATCTAGTCCTTGGTTTATTTCCATAAATGCCAACTCCTGACCGATATTTGGTTTTGGAGTCATCTTTAAACCAAATATGGCCGGCATTAACTGGGATCCCTTTCTTCCAGTCTGCTCTACAAGGTATTTTGATTTAAAATCTTTTGCCAAAACTGAATTTAGGGGTCATGGCATCAGCAGGCATCTCCAAAGTTCTGTCCATTCGAAGAGGTGTTATGTCAAAACTTATTTTGTTTATCTTCGCCCGATTTATGTGAGACGTGAAGTTCCTAGCAGGGTAAGCATTCAAAAGAGCCGCCATTAACACAAGTTTGTGCAGAAGAAGAAGTTAATTTTTAATGTAATTCCTGAGTACATAATAATTAATAAAACGTTAAATAAGTTGTGAGTGTTATTATTATTTCATTTCTAACTATTTTTCCAGTGGCTTCTATCTAAAAATAAAAACTTCATCGTGGTTCAAGTGTTTCAACTTAAAAGTTGTAATTTTCTGATTCAATAAAACAATTAATAAAAAAGAAAAACTACATGGTTATAAAGTTTTATTGAGACGATTTGAGATAAAGTAAACTAACATATTGATCATAAATACCTGTATGATCAGAATTTCTTTCAATGTAATTGGCGTAATACATGTTATCTCTCCGTTAGTATTGCAAACAGATTGTAACTTTTATAGTATTTGGCAAATTAAGACATCTTTGATTTCTTCGACAGTTGGATTTTTTTTTAAATAGTTAAACTAAATACTGCATTATCGACGTTTAATATTGTTTTCGGATTTTCATGACTTTACTGCCTTTTAACTGTAACGCGTAAAAATAAGACAATATAAATGAAGTTATGGAGATAATTTTCATGTGAACTACTGAAAAGGAAACATGTTACGTGCGGTTTTTCACGCCAAGCAGGCATTTCCTTTCTGAACCGAATTAAAAATTGTAATTAGAAAAACTTTCTACACGGTAATCCGTGGCCAATTAGATAAATTGTGGGCCTGGCAGGCTGATTTACAATAATCTTTTTGAAAATCTTATATATTTAAGAAACGTTAACAGTGATTTCATAAAACTAATTAACAAAGAAATGCTGCATAAAGCAATGGGTGGAGAGACTATCTCAGAAATGTGCCAGTTGGCAAGTATTACATTTTGAATATCTTGCTAAAGCTAACTCTTTAAACAGGGAAGACAAAAATTACGAAAAATCTTGCTGAATCTTCAAGAGTTTACTCTGCTTTTTGGGAGGAATTTGAACACTGTGTGAACATAGGTGCCTGTTTGATGTAGGTACACATAGGTCTATATAGCTTTAGGTTTGGTTTATCTTTCCAATGTGCAAGTACCTAGGCTATTTTTGGCAGAGCCTGCAAGTATCTGTCTCATCTTTTCGTATTATTTGAAATATTTACTTCAATGCGCAATGGATGATCGAAGGACTTATAAATCAGCATGAGCAGAGTGTGCTCCCGGAGTTCCAGAATTCGAGTTCGCTAAACAAAAATTCGAATTTGTACATGAGTGGTTCTTCTTTCGTTCGCAAAGAAATATTTACACATACATTATGACGTCTGTGATACATGCAAAAAAGAATACATCTGCTAAGGGAAGGCTACTACCAGAAGAGAAAAAACTCTGATTTGATCGGTATTTCAGTGTATTTTACGAATTAAAATCCCAAAAACATACCAATGTTCATATCAAATCCATTCAATGTTTTTCCGTGAAGCTGAGAAATTAACTCCCAAAAGGCATCTAAAGATTTTTCGTGTGTGTTTGTCACCATTACTTAAAATCTTCTTATATTACCATTCCGTCACTATGTGTGCAAGTGCTTAAAAGTACCAGTTGTCCTTTACTGCCGAGGGCTTGTTGCATTGCCCTTGTGATGATGTAATAGGTTGAGCTTCAGTGCTTCAGTTGACTTTGCGTCTTATTTTCTAAGTTATTGGCTACCATACATGGACTTTATAGGCATCGTTCTAATGTACATCTAATAGGCCATTTTTGGATTCACCCCAAAGTTTTACTATGAAATCTACTCGCACCAGTGTACCTTGCTTTGGCATTTGGTATTATTTTGTAAGTATAGATATTCTTTCATGTTGTTAAAAAGTGATTTAGTTAAATTACAATTCTCCATGTTGTCTATGTGATGAACCTGTTATTTAGTCGTTGCCGATCAGTTTGATACTAGCTAACTTCGCCGGTTTAGTCTATCATCCAAGTTTCGTCATATCCCTAAATTGAAGATGATAGATCATAATTTATGAACAAATTGTGAGGTTTCCTGCTCCGGTATGTGAGGTGATATAAACCTACAGTTTGATAGTCAGCATAGTCTTCATTTCGCCATCTTCAGTGTTGAACTTGGATTCTCAGAAATCACCCAAGCTCTCACTGAAAATGGCGAAATACCGAAATGTGTCTGACAAAATTCATCGAGGGTAGTACCTACCGGTAATCTATGAAACTATAGATTGATGAACAGATCAAACCAACGAGGATAAACAAAAATGATCGATAACGACCAAATTACTTGATTTTCGTCTGCCAGTTTCTGGATATCTGTTTGCAGTGTGAGTGTTTTAACATAGACAGTATTTATAAGCATAAACTTTTAACTATCATAGACTTCAATTACACTACAAGAACTAATGTGTTAATAAAACTTATTTTTCCTGAAGTAAACACTTCCATGCATATAATGCAGCATTGAGATTTATATATCAAAACAAAATTGATATAAATTCCTTTCCTCTTATGATAAATTTAATTTTTTTAAACATTTATTAAAGAAGATAAATTTTTAAAAGAAATATATATTATTTAGTAGTAATATAATAAATATATTATTTAAAAAATTAGATAAAATGACAACAGTCAAATAAATTTAATGAACACTGCTACCACTAATTTGTACAAATACATTTTTGTAAATGTATAAAACTACTTGCGAGCTCACAACTCTTTCTCTCAAGCACAAGTTAAGCTTACTGATAGCATGCTATATATTTTACATTATTTTGTTCCAGATTATCATTTACTTTTTTTCTCAAATTAATGTATTCAATGTTCAGCAAATAAATTCATTTTTGCCTTGACTTTTGACAACTGGTAACAATTAAAAGCTATCAAAGTTATTAAAAGCTACACAACTGGGTTAACTGGCAGAAGTAATATTAAAAAAAGAACAATATATTATACAACTGATTTTATTGCATATATTTTACCATAGAGAAAAGATAAATTTGAGAAGTAGGTAACAAACCCGGAAATTGACGTCACTGGATGAGACTTCTGCACGTGGTTTTAAAAATCAGGGAGGTTTTTTCCTGCCAATTTATAATCTTATTGTAAACAAAATACAAACCCCTGTCGTCAGGAGTTCAGTGAAAAAGACAGTTTTAATAAAAACAAAATAAACAATTTGCACGATTTTATAAAGGTAATAACGAAAGACTATTGAACAAAAGGAAAAGACCATGAAGATTGCCGAAGTAAGTTTGTTTCTTTTTTAGATTTGTTCTTACGTTTAAAATAATTACTTGAGTACTTGACTCAGAAGTGTTCTTCAGTTTAAAAAAAGTATTAATTCTTACAACTTTACCAATACTTAGCTCGCTGGAGACGAGGGCACAGAAACGTCGAGGACGTTTGTCTTTTATGACGAGGGGCACACATTTGGCAACGTTCTTAGATGTGTAATCACATCATAGTGAGTAGGCATTTTTTTTTCAATCTCTTAAACAACAATTTTATGAAATTTTTCTCACATTAGTCCAGAAGTGACCTTCTGCGGTTATACCGTCCCTCACCCTGCGGAGATGAAGATGCACCTGCGGATCCAAACCAACGGCCCGAGGGCGATAGACATCTTACAGAAAGGGCTGCAAGATCTGGACAAAATGTGTGATCACACACTGGGCAAGTTTGATGTAAGTATAATTTTATATCATCGTAGTTGTGCTGTAATGCAATCATAGTGCAAAATATGAAAATTTGCTCTTTTAATCCAAAATTTAAGCCTTGCCCATAACCACATCTTAAATGATAAATTACTTGCACAAGTAAACTTAGTAAATCTCCACAAATTTCAAAATCGAACAAACACTAAGCTGGAACTGTTTACTAATGAGTTGTTTTATAGAAAACCCACGAGTAAAAAATTCCCATATATTCCTTAACAGAGTTTCGTCACTCTTCACACTCAAAATACTTTGGAGTATTTCATTTTCTTTAGTTTCCACCACCAAGAAAGAAATGGGACTAAAAACAGTGACTTAAAATTTTTTGGTTCTTTAACCCTGTGGTGGACATGTAGTGGAACTGCAAACCGCAATTTCTTTTGTTATTGTATTTTTACTTAATTTTTTTCCAATTTCATCAAAAGTAGTTAGTATTCAATCTATATGTTTTTAAGGCTGGGGAGCAATACGTAATATTTTTTACTTTCCTTTACCGTCACTCCAAAGCCTCTAAATAGAAGGTGGCCTCTAATTTTTTCTTCCTGTTCCTCACTGAAGATAGCACAATGCCAAAACGCATTTGATTAACACAAAAACCTGTGACTGGAGAAAGCCCCATTTAAGTGACCCTGAGGCGGTTCAACATTTTTTAGAATGATCTTTGCTGAATTATGACAAGGGGTTGTTTATAAAAAATAAGTTATAAATGCTCATGTTATTTTTAAAAGCAATAACCCTTCAAATAGATAATAGAATAGAATCTTCAAATAGAATAAGAAGAGAAATTTTAAATAATTTGGCGTATAGTTTGCTTAAAAATCAGTTACAGGAGAGGGCCAATTTAAAATATTTAATGAAAAAATGTGTCTGTTTCTTTCAAGATACTATTGTAATGCTTCCCAAAATGGAAGACCTAATTAAAATCATACTTTTAGGTTATGTCAAAAATTCCGAAGTTATAAAAATAACAAAATAAACATGACATAAAAGAAGACTTTGCAGTTGCCTTGCACAACCAACCGTCGATAATTAAATCAATAGAAAATTGTTAATTACCAAATCGACTAAAAAGAAACATCAGGACACTTGCTACATGACTGAAGCTTTACCAAATTTAAGTACTTGCAATGCCAATTACTAATTCGTGAAATAGCATCTAGTAAAGTGTTCCATTTACAAAAGTGTGATTCTATGCCATCCAGATTTTTTTTTTCTTTTTTTGCGTTATGAACTATGCATATTAGCCATGTGACAATTCGTATATGTGTGTTCAAATTTAGGGGGGGTTATTGTGAAAAAGGGCCAGAGGCGACGGTGGGAATCGAACCCACGGCCGCGGCGTGAGAGTCTCTCGTCCAGGAGAATTCATTGAAAAACTTTTTTTTAAATATCAAAAATGAGCCACTGGGTAACTGTGTGCTCCAGACTGAGGCCTATGCAACAGGGGCACTATAAAAATTTTCTAGAAAAAATATTATTTTTATTTTTATATTTATATAAAAACCTAAAACTTAACCCTCCTTTATAAAACCCTAAAAACTAAGACCCTGGTGGCCATCCAATCTCAATATGGATGTTAATGAGACAGCTGCAATTGTGGATTTTATATAATATTTCCCAAAAAAAAGTATTCACGTGTGTATTTACTTTTTTTTCATATTTTCTTCTCAACCAGCTTTGCATAAAAATTGGAAATAATAAACAGAAAGTGTAACCATAACTAATATAAGTATAATTAATTAAATAATTTCTACATTTTTGTTATTAATCGCTTTTCAAAAGACAAGTTTTTCAATTTCACAAATCAGGAGTTTTGAATATTTATTAAATACAAGTGCAGACAAAATAAGAAATTTGGATAAATCACTTTTTCTGAATTGGAAATGAATTGCTATTATTGTCATAAAGTTCTCTCTGAGGACTTTTCACCAAACACTGTGGAAAAATTCTGATATATTAAGGGCGCTGGAAATTTAAAAAGTTTGGGAACCGCTGGGTTAACATTTAAGTTTTGAAAGATATTTTTTACTGTAGTATAATAACCTGCAATGTTTCACATTTGTACTATTTTCTTTTTAAAAAAAAGTGTAGAATTTAAAAATATAGATATTACATTAATGTTTGTTTGTTTTTTGTTTTTTTCAGTCGGCAATGGCAGTGTATAATGTTAACAAAATGTCTATAAATTAAAATATATTCTATGTTTTAAATTTTATTTGTCAATAAGTGTATGTTCAAATGTACAAATTAAATTGTTTTTTCTTTTAAGTTTTTTTTTTTTCAATATAAGCAATAAAATCCACTCACCCTCATCAGGGCCTACAGCCAAAGTCGAGTTCGCACTTTCTACATCATCCACTATCGACATTGTCCATCAAGTAGCCAACAGTGATTACTCGTCAAAATGGACGAGGGGTGGCTGGCACCCGTCTTTATAGGAGAGACTAGATATTGCAGAAGAATTCTTCTTAGGCCAATAAAGATAAACGGCAATAAAAGAAGTTAAACACTGTAAACTGACCCAGGTCATAATCGATTGGGCAATTGCAAGAGACAGGATGAAACCTCATTCACTCAGGCTCGATGCGGTCACGAGGAGAGAAATCTTCAGATTTAATTACTTTTTTTCATATTAAATATTGATTGTCTTACCCACCCTTAATAATTGTTATAACTAAGTGGTCATATTGATATCATGATTGAATATAAATATATTGTACTAGTAATAATTAAGCACTCTAAACCTCAAAGTTAGTAACTCAGCAATTGGTAAATGATCATTGTTTTCAAAATGTCAATTATTATTTATAAATTCTAGCAGTGCCATTATACACAATAAGAAAGCTATAGCTTATTATATTCGGATTTTCACCCCAATGTGCTGACATTAGTGTCTACATCAAGTTCACTCATCCCATTATGTGGCTGGGTTGCCAGATGCCCAGATCATCGCTTCAACGGGCTATCGACAGCTAGGTCATTTCAGTTTCAAACCCATCCAAACTATAATCTATCCTAACTTAAATTAGATGCCAGTTGCACAAATAAATACATTCATGCTTATAAATACATTTATGCATTGCCCCATTCTGATTAGTCGGTGGAGTACTTGATATACCTCCATCGACCTATACACAGTACTGATAATCTAACCTAAATTAGGGTCAATGAGGTACTTCTATAAATATTCTGCCATCAACCCTAAACACACTGCTAGAGGGGCAATAGTGACACTATATTTCACCATCACCACTCACACTAATAAATACATGCATTCAAACAAAACACAGTTTCACTATATGCAATAAAAAAAATGATGGCGGTGCTCGAGAACCATTTGTAAATCTGGCAGTATGCCTACACACACTCTGTATGGAGCCGACATGACACGCCTTTTAAGTGGGGCACATCATGCAACCTTTCTCTACATAAGGAGCACCTGCGCGGGCTTTGGTACAAAAGCACCATGTCAACCACATATGGCCAATTGGGTGATTACGATCCCTCATCTACGATTCAAGATTCTCTGAGGGCCACATACCTGTCATACTCGACTCACAGACGTCCCTGACCACTGACGCTGCCATCTATCTTTTATCGTTTTTCACTGCAATGGTCTGGTCTGGAGGGTGGGACAACCTGCCTTTCGCTGTCTTGACCACACGTTCATTACCCTCCAAGACAACAAGTCCAAAAACTCTGACAACCACCATTTTTCTGAGGCACTTCAACTCAGCATATTTTCTAAAAAGAGCATCAGTCCACAGAGGTTAAGGAAAAGGTGAAAACAGATTGAAATCTTTATTGTACATTTTATTCAATGAAATTGTACATTACTCATTACTATTTCTTAACCTTCTTCTTCATTCTTGGACCGACTGAACAGATGACTTATGGCCCAATCAACAAATGTTCCTGTAAGGAACAAAAGAAGTGTCTCCCCTATTCGTATTCTAGTTCATTACAATTTTAACATCTTGGAACAATTTTTTAAATTATTATTTCTTTCATAACAGATTACAAAATATGCATTTACAAAATTAATACATACTCAACTACTAGGAAGGGAAACTTTATAAACCTTATTAATTGCTTTTAATTATTGTTTTTAGTCAAGACCCTCTTCATTTAAATCAGCTCATAAACTACAAAATTAATTATTAGTACTTTCAAAAAAATGTACAAAGAGGTTGACAAGAAAATATAACAAAACTTAAAAAATATAAATTATTAATAATTAATTTTAAATTAAAAAAATACAATCAATTAAAATATAAATCAAATCAATTTCAAAACATTTGACACATACTTATAAATAATATTCACCACCAGAGGTAATTTATTGTACAAGATGAAAAGAAAAAAAAGAAATTAGTTCAATTTTGTCTTTAGTCCTAGGAGACGAAAGGTACTGGTTATTTATTATATTCACAAAATACTACCGAGATAAGCATGAGTGGCACCTCACGGGCCCATTGTCCAAATCGGAGGGCAATGTTGAGATGCTCAGGGAAGGCTATTTGGCACTTCTCCCAGGCGGCGGCATGTACATCGACTGCGAGTAGCGCTGGTTCTTCCTTGGTCCCATGCTTTCTCCCGACTTGACGTACGAGCCTCGTCCTCCCCTCCTGAACTCCATCAACCCTGGTGGGAAAAACAAATTGTCAAAACTTTTCTCTTGGACAGTCCCTCTCGCCTCACCGTTGTTGAAGTTGACATTTCTGTCTTCAGACATGCCAGGGTGGTTCGAAGCATTTTCCTAAATAATAGAAATATAATATTAAACTCTATTTGAAAAAGGAAAAATCCTATTTTGAATTAATACCGCAGGCAAAGGGTAACAGTCGTCTTGGAGAACTTCCTCAAAGTTGCCGTAATCAAGGAACCGAACTACACACGTCTTTTTAGATATTGCTGTCACTTCCGCTTTATAAAACTATAAAATAAAATCAATATTAAAAACCAGCTTATATATGTTTTTTAATTTCTCCTTTATTGTTCTGAACTGTTCCACTAGTTTTTATTTCTTGAAAATTTTCAGGCCAGCACATGGCCTCGCCCTAGTCATCTGCCATGTGGGATAATTTAACATTACTCCTATTCGAGTTCGAGAGAATGGGCCATTTGCTGGACTGAAAGCTTTCAAGAAATAAAAATTGGCGGAACAGTTCAGAAAAATAAAGGAGTAGTTATTATGCACGATGCTTTTACGTGGTACATATAATTTTTTACATACCTCATTGTCCTCCCAATATTTGGCAAGACACTTGTCACCCTTCTGCCAGCGGTATTTGTCTGGCTTGCTGACAGTGCCATTAGGAGTGTTGATACGATTGTTGTAACTAGACGAGAGACTGTTCATCGGAACCATTGACATCAGAGAATTGTTGTCCTTGTATGGGAACTCGGGAATGTCCGGCATCCCTGCCGGTTTATACGAATTCTGATTTCTATATTCCCCATTGCTACTACCGCTAGGTTGATTGTAATCTAAACAAATATAACAATAGGATTTCCTAACAATCTTTTTTTCCAAACTTTTCTTGTTAAGTTAACAATTTATTGCACTTGTATATATTTTTTAAATACAAAAATGAAGTTAACAATATACAAGATAATCTCTTCTTAATAGTAAGAAGTTTTGGTAAATATATTACATATTACTTATAAATATTTTATAACTAAAATGATTCAATAGTTATTGACTGATAAATGTACTCACTCATATTATCGACTTTAAAATAATTCCTATGGCCGTTGTATTGCTGAGTATTTTGTGAACTATTGCTTTTAGGTGAGAAATAGTTGTCGCCACTATTTCTGAAGTTGGTCACCGAGCCGACTTCGTTTCTGCTGACAAAATGATCAAAGTGGTCAGACATCTCCACTTTATTTTTGTTTTGATTTTGAAACCTCGGAGGCTTTTGATCTGAAATGGAAAGGAAAATATTATGCCCTGCTTCCCTTTTAGAAAAATTGACTCTTACTTTGATTAGGCCCTTGCCAACGATTGCTCTCTCTTGGTCTGCGATCACTGGCACCGCTGTTTGAGTGGGTGCTCCTGTGTCCGCCGCTAGACCTGCCTTTATCGTGGTTAAAGTTCCTTTGTCCATGGCTACTCTGTTCGAACTTTTCCCACTCCCTCTGCTTCTCTTTTTCTTTTTCTTTCTCTTTTTCTTTTTCCTCCTCTTTTTCTAGAGCTAATTAAATAGAATTAGATGTTTGAAAGAGAATATAAACAAAAATCATTCTTACTGTGGCCTGGCAAGGAGTCTTTGACGTACTGATAGAGTAGAATGGTCGATGTCGGTTTCTGACTCTGGACCTGATCATTGTCAGCCTTTCTTTTACCTTTACCACCACCCTCTTTTTCAGTTTTTTCCTTATCATCTCCTCCTTTTCCCGTTTTTCTCTGAAATTTTTTAATATAAATGGTATAATAGGTGAATAATCAATGTACAAAAGATTTTTTTTTTTTTTTTAAGGCCTACCTGAAGATTTTTTAAAGCGCGGTCAAAACTTTTGTTTTGTTTGAGAGCAGTTTGTGCTTCCTGGAGTGTAAAACCTTTTTCCATTAAAGCCTGGATATTTTTGTCAACAATTGGTTTGTTTCCACCCCCGAATACCTTTGGACCTGTTTTCACCTCTGCAATTGCATCCCTCCTCTGTGCCTCAAACTCGCCATTGTTCTTGTTCTCTTTATCTTTATCGTCAACAATCTAATTCAAAATTTATACTTAATAATGTACTGTTGGCTTACTTTTTTTTAAGGCAAATTTTAAAATGAGATTTAAGGTGTGCAGTGCATTAAATTAAATCTCTTATGATTAAATCTCAAAATGGATTTTTTTATTTTGAATTACTACATTAAAATTAAACTGAGCAATGAATTGAAAAAAAAAATACTGTTAATGCATGGACTAATTAAAATTTAAGGTGAGTCTTACTTTGAGATTCCTCTCTGAAAGATCATTTTGGACCATTTTTTCTCCGAAAGGGATCCATGGCGGAGGACCATCTAGAGCACCCACTCTGCGTCTTGTTTGGTGTGTAAAGCTCTAGAACCATCAAGGAACTTGGTTTTAAACAAAATATCTATTTTAAAAATCGACCATTTTTATTACCTGGTTTAACCATTTTTCGACTAGCTTCGAAACGTTGCCTCCAAGAAACTCGACGTTTGAAGGATAAAGAAGAAGAAGGCCATTTCTGATAGCGATTTCACCCTTAAGCCTCAGCTTCGTACCAGGCGGTGTGTTCAAGCTGAAATTTGACAAAACCAAACAAACTCTTAATGAGACAACTGGGGAAGAAAGAACTGAAAAACACCAAAAAATAAAATTTTAAAACTGTAAAACAAAAAGTATAATTTAAAACAGTTTACCTGACTTGGGACAATTGCTTCATTTCCACTGCAGGCACGGCATGAGTGCCGTCTGTCAAAGACAGCTTGAACATACGAGGTGCATGTTGCGAAGTCTGATTCGACTTGGGAGCAGAAATATTCCTTATTTTTTTGATCTGAACTACTATATCCCCTTGGATCTTAAGAAACAAAATGCATTAGTCGCAAATCGTACTATCAAGCAATGGATACACTTACATTTTCACATTTTCCTTTCACGAGATCAGAAGGAAAGCTACATCCTCCTAGCTCACATATATCAATCTAAAAATCATTTCAAAAAATAAATAATAAATAAAAAAAATATAAATTACATTACAAAAATTAAACATAAAAAACACAGAACTTATAACTATTTAAAAAAATATATATTATAATAATTAAAAATTGATTAACACCAATTTATCCAAATGTAGATTTCAACTATTATCCTTCTACTTTCATTAATTTCGATAAACACCAAAGTGATAAGATATAAATAAAAACATTAAAAAAATATGTCGCCTCTAATTTCATAAAATTATTCTCAATTAAAACAATTTTCAAACTTGATATCTTTTAATTATTAAAGAAAAATAAAATCAATAAACAATAACATTAGGAAAACGTAAAACAAGTTTATTCTTCAATATTTTTCAGCTTTATTTATTCCAAAGCATTAGGTTTCTTTCAGGTACAATAACTTTATTTCTTTCTGCTGAATTTGTACTAAAAGTAATAGTTACATTTCACTAAATGCCAAAGAACATGAGAATTAAATTATTATTTAGAGTTTAAAATGCCATTAAAAATCTTGAGTAAATTATTTTATCAAACGATCAATTAATAATGATATTTAAAACTTATATACATAATGTTATTAATATTTATGTATATAATACTTACGTCCAATGCTTTTTTCAGAATGGCATTTTTATCAGTGAGTTTTCCTTCTTCTGTCAAAAGTTGATAACCCTCAGGTGAAAGTATCCTGGATGAATTATAAATACATTTATTTAATAACACAGTTTTTCCAATTATAAACTTAAAAATCTAAACTATATATTTATGATTACTTACAACAAAGAAGTTAAAATTATTTTCCACCCAATTAATAAAAACTATTGCAAGTTAAACTTAAATTATAGTTATTGCTAAATTTAATTAAATGGAAAATGGCAAAACCTATAATTATGTCCATTTTAAAAATGTTTTGAGATGATGGTTGATTGATTTATAAAAGCTAAACGCAAAGCTCGTTAACAGGTTGAAGGAGTTACAAGCATGTCTCTCGACATGAATTGTACAATTTGCATGCTTAAAAAGCAAATTCAGTTGTTACTGCTAAGCTTTCGACCTATTTTAAGATCATCATCAGGTTAAAACAATCATAAATATTTACATATTTAAGTGTTTTTACAGTAGTTTTCAATATTGTTACAATCCTTGGCTAATGTTAGGACTGAGTCAGTCTTCAAGGAAAAATGACATCGCTTGTAAAAAACTTAAATATGTCAACCTAAACATATTTAATATTGTTTTGCCCTGATGATGACCTTAAAATGGGTCGAAAGCTTGGTGGTTACAACTGAATTTGCTTTTTTCTTCAAGACCATACCTTGATCCAGTTGTTCCTATGTGAAAAAAGTGGTCAATGCTTCTAATACTGAAAAGAGAATGAGAATAAGATGTTATGTATTCACGGTCCTGTTAAATGTATGCGAAAGCTGGATGTTTGATTTAAGTACCAAGATGAAGCTCGAGGCCTTTGATGTGTATTTACTCAGCATACTGTAGCTCCATAAGGATACAAATGAAGAAGTGCTTCACAGAATGAGCAAGTCCTGGTAACTTCTGCTCATGATAAAATAAATAAAAGCGCAGTACTTGAGACATGTGGAGGATAATAACGAATGCAAAATACTGTGGAAGCATTCCATTAGGAGGCGGAATGATCTGGGGCAATAGTTGGTCGTTTTCAGGGCAGCGACCAACAAGGAAGAGCTAGATGCTTGGATTGCCAACCTTTAAGAGGAGAAGACGAATTAAGAAGAAAGAAAGTTTCAACATTACTGTTGTCTGTTTGTACAACAGTACACACTAAGCAAATCTCGGCTAATGAAAGACAACGAATCAGGTTGAATGTTGGTCACCAACACATTGGCCATCCTTGGCTTATCCTCATCAAACCTAGCAGTTGAGGCCAAGAGATTTGGCCATGTGGAACCCCTTTTGATGTTACTGCTAAAAGTCCGAACCCGACCACGGCCAAATGCTGGCTTTGATTCGCCTCCTGTACACACGAAGCAAATCTCAGCCAATGAAAGACAACAGAATTGGGTCAAATGTTGGTCGCCAACACATTTGCCATCCTTAGCTCATCTTCATCAAACCAAGGGGTTGAGGCCAAAGGTTGGCCATGTGCAATCATAGTCAAAATCAACCCTTTTGATATTACTGCCAGAAGCCCGCACCCCGACCAAGGCAAATGGTTTCATTGGCTCATTCACCTCCCATATTCACTAAGCAAACCACAGCCAATAAAGCAGTTGGCTGTCTTTCATTGGCCAAGATTTGTTTAGTGTGTACACCTCCTTAATACATTGGATAACAACCTTGATTTTGGGTTTTATTATAGGAGAACATCTTAAAATGGTCAAGTACCGTTTAAAAATGTGATTTGGATAAATGTTCATTAAAATAATGAAGCATACAGTTGTCACTAATAATTTTCTATAAAAGATAAAGCAACGTCGCATTTAAAAAAATCAATCGTCTGGAAGGTCGTTCTGGAGCGCGGACTAAGCAAGACCGTACTGCAAATGAACCAATAGTCACAACTGCAGAAAATGACGTTGACAATAATAAACATGCAATAAATGAAAAAGGAGTAGGCGGAAAACGGGCGGACGTGAGGAAAAAAGATCCTTGGAAGAAGTGTACGCTGTTGAAATTCGCTTACCATCCTTCTTCCTTGAGCTGTTCTACTATGTCCATCTTCGGGCAGACCTCTGTCCAAGGGAGTTGGATCCCGACCGGGCTGCGACTTGGCTGCTGTCCGAAAACGAAGAATCCTCGTTGAAATCGTTGGAAATCCTCATCCGTCCGCGAAACGGTCTCAAACAGGAAAAACGTCCGTCGACGGTCAAACTGTCAGGAGAATGAGCAGAACCGATTCTACAGTCTAGTGCCTGTCTGATATCAGAATTCAGCACGGGATCACCGATCGGAAGACGGGTCCAGGACAGTGTTTACGAACCGACATTGACATTTTCCCCCATTACAATCGAAATTCCCCTTTTTTTCACTCAATAATAAAATCTTTAGTTTACCCTCATTTAATTTTTCTACACGAATTCAACAAATATAAACCATCTGTATTGTACTCGCAACTTGTACATTGTATGGCATCACTTTCAATTTGCTGTAAGCTTCAAGTGCAAAGAAGCTTCTACAATGGCCACTGGTATCCTTAAGAATACTTCATACGACTACATTATTAATTAATTAAAATCTTTCCTTACAGATGATCTTTTACAAGCATGTTAATTTTTATATTTTATCATTAATTTCTAAGCATTTCTGTTTCCTCCATTGCCTTTATTCATATGCATAATTTAAAAGATCTTCACTTTCTTTATATGATGTTACTGAAAAATAAAAAACATGTCACACTTCAATTTATTTCGTAGTGCCAACTTTGTGATTTAGACTCACATGATTAATCTTACAAAAAAAGGTCTCCACTTTTAGTGACTTTTTACATCTGGAGTCCCACAGGGGTCACATTTAGGCCCTTTATTATTTTTAATCTTTAAGTCTGTTTCTGCTGTCTTTATTATACGCTGATAATCTTAAAATTGTCCACTCTATAAAATCAACACAAGACTTCTCTAGCAGCAATCGGTTCATAAATTTAGTTTCTGGTGTCATATTAATCATTTACATTTAAGTGTAGCTAAACGCTCATAAATTTCATTTGATCGTTCTTCCTCTTTCCAGATTTTTTTCAGATGCTTTATCCCCTCATTAAATGTTTGTCATAAATTATTTATTATTATTTATTTACCCGTTTATGTAAGTAGAGTTTATTTTCCAAACTAATCACAATATTTAAAAAAAGTTATAATGCAGATATTGTCATGTAGTTGTCTAAGTGAAAATAAATAAATATCGTATAAAAATCAATCTTCTAACACCAGTCTAATTCTCTCAATAATAACACACTAAACAGAGTATCTTGTTTCAAAGGAATTTAAGCAGCATATTATCATTGTTAATAAAAAGCTCTTAAAATTATGGGTTTTGCTATAAGAATCACTCATAATTTTCATAACCCCAATTCATCATTGGCACTGTACAAAACTCTCATTTGTCCTATGCTCGAATTTTCTACTGTTGTATGGAATCCACACTTTTCTTCTCATTCTGAATTTTGAGATAAAGTTCAAAATAAGTTTATTTAAATCCTTAATTTTCTGTTTCCTCTTTTCATCCTCAGAACTGTCTTTTCCTCTCTATAATTTTCCAGTATTAGCTGAAAGAAGGTTTTTTTTATCTATTATTTCTTTAAAATATAATCAATGGGCAACTAAATTGTGTTGACTATTTATCACTTTCAATGTCTTAGTAAATTCTACCAGGCATTCATCTATGTTTAGTTGTAAAACAAATTACATATTTTATTCACCAATCAATGAGAGAAAGAGATAAGATGTCCAAATATTGCTTTTTTTCATCTACATTTAAACTTAAATTAAAGTCAATAATTTGATAGATTATTTTGAAATAAATATAGTTGTACCATATAAAATATAATTCTTCTATTATATAAAATAATTTATATTATTATATAAAATATAATTTATTGTTTATTATTATTATTAATGTTTGTTGTTGTTTTGGTTATTGTTATTTTACCAATTTTGTTTATCTGCTGCTTAAATTCCGGCCATTTGTGTATGGGAGACTAGCCCCTAAAAAATAGTTGAAGAAGTCAAAATAAAGAAATGAAAAATAAAAAATATAATAATAAAAATAATAGAAATAAATGTGATAATTAAAAAGTATTTATTAATAAAGCCTAATTTTAAAAGCCATAAAACAGGAGATTTTTTAGATCTGCCAAATCTATAAATTAACCCAATAATGCTATTTCTAAAAGAACAAATATGTTCTACACTAAATTCTAAATTTTACTGATATTTTTTGTTTTGGCAGTTTTTCATTTATGCAGTAAACTAGTGTCAAATCTAAGTATATAGGTAATAATATAATTACATAATCAAATTATTTTTATCTAGTTGCATTTACTTGAATACATTAATTTCAATTAAACAAAATGTAGGATGTGTGATTTCCTTTTTTAGTAATACTAATCTTGTTCAATGAATCAGATATTACACATAAAAATTAAATAAGGTAGATCAGATAGCAAAAATTAACTGATTTTAGTTGATTTTAAAAGCCATCTAGCCAAATGTTCATTTATTTACAAAGCCATGTGTTTTTGAAACATTTTCTCATAAAAATAAATGGGGAAAATCTTTGCATTATTTCTTTTGGTGTTAAACATATCTTGGAGCTATCAAGGTATTTTTTAAAATTGATCAAATTTTTTTAAACACATTTTCTGTATCTATATATAATATAGATAAAGCCATGTAAAAATAAGCACATTAAAGGTACTGGGTTCAAATCCAGCAGCCCTGCATTCGAACCCGACATACTTACAAATTTTTTTTTTTTTTTTTTTTCAAAAACACCGGCACCCTGAGGGTTTATATGACCTCTGCTGTTGCGAACCCTTGTAGGAAAAGAAAAAAAATATTTGAACATAGATCAAACTGTGGTGTTTGACCAAACATTCCAACTATAATTGCATCCAAATTTCTTAATCCAAAATCCCCAAAAAAAGGAAAAGTAAACGCTACCTTTCATGCATCCAAACACACGGTCCACAATGACCAATATTCCTTTTGTTGATGTCATAAAATCTTGATACACAAAATTCCACAAATCTTTTATTACACTCCAATTACTTAGTTTTAAACTTAACCTCCTGTACTATCCCCAATAATCCTCCAAAGGGGTTAAAGCAGCTTTACAACTTGTTCGGCTAGATGTACTCACTATTAAAACTACTTGGCAAATTCTTCTTTTATTTTATTTTAAATTTGTACATATCAACCATTTTATTTTTAATATATAAAAATAAATCCTACTGTAAATAAATAAATCCATGTACAATTATCATCATTATTTTATTTTATTTGTTATTGCTGTTGAATCTGAGATGCTAATCTTCATCTTCCCTAGATGATCACCACCAAGAGATTGTAAATATTTCTGTGAAGGGCTGGTATTTACCTCTATAATTTCTATGTTTTGCAATTATTGATGAACTGTTCCTATAATTGCCTCAAATAAATTAGTTTCAGTTCCGAAGATGTAGCCACAAAACTGTTATATTATATTCATACAGAAGTCACACTTACAGCGATCCCACCTCCTTTTTCCGACACTTTTGATCTACACATTAAACACACAGCATGGTCAATCATTTCAAGTAAATTTGAAAACTTGTTCATCCCATTAACTTCTTATGTAAAATATAATATGTATAATAAATAGTTCCAGATGGAGAAAAGGAAATTGATACTGAAGGTTCTCTCTTATTAAAAATTCCTCCATTCACTTTCAAAAAAACAGGGGTTAAAAAAGTGAATATTGTTGTTACTTATACAAATAAATTTCTTGGTGAAGGTGCTCCAGAAAAACAAATTCAACACACTGTAAGTAATATATTTTACTAATGTTATATATTTCAATAAGTCTTGTGAACTGTTTACCTATCTGGTTTTCAGTGTTTTATTTCAATCGATAAAAGACCAATATATTTTTATATTAAAACTCCAAGGCATAAAGTTATTTCTTGCAACAGACCTTTTGAAGTCAAACTTGGAATTAGCAAAGCTGTTAAGCATGAATACAAAGCAAGAATTAAGTGTGATTATCAATCAGATTTTTGCAAGGAAAGAATACTTGGTTTGTTTTAAGGTGTCATATCACCTCATTCAGACCAATAAACTTATTTATTTATTCATTTTATAGCAAATTTTCAAACCACATACTCATCACTTCCTTGTGACAAACTCATTAAGTTTACAGCAAGTGCGATACATAAAAAAATTAGCAAACTATTCGAAATAACTTTTAAGTTACAAACCTCAAAAGATGCAACATCGGATTTGGAATTAAGGTGAGTGTTTAAGCTCATATTAATTGTGTTTTGGTGGTATTTAATACTGTGCAATTCATTTGTAACATAATGACAAATTGATATAAAAATAATCTCCTTAAAAATTATTAATAATTATTATTTATATTATTTAAAAATAATGGTTCAGGTGTTATCATATTTTTTCTCAAATGAGTTAAAATTTTAGGATATATTTATTTAGAAATCGTGAGATGCGGTCTGGTGTGATGTAGGTTTCAGAAAAACATATTCTTTATCGTGCCAATGTTTCGATCTTTACTGAGATCGTCTTCAGGGCTCAAAGTGTTTGTCTTCTGTGTAATTGTGCCATTCTTGCGTGTCGTGTCGAGAGTGCCCTGAAGATGATCTCAATAAAGATCGAAACATTGGCACGATAAAGAAAATGTTTTTCTGAAACCTACATCACACCAGACCGCATCTCAAGATTTCTAAATAAATATCGATTAATGGTCACTAATCTCCACACATTTTAGGATATAGATCACATATTTAAATCTTGTAATATTTTGCTAATTAATACAATATTTTTTTAACTTATAAAGATTGTTTCATAATGAAACTCTGTAAGTATGCTGATATAAATAATTTTAACTGACTGCTTGTAGCACTAAAAATATATTTGTATACAAATTCAAAAATATTAATTATATTAATTTTATTAGTAATGCATATATACAAAAATATTAAAATAATTTTTTAAAAATATATAAAAAATAACTAAAGTTATTAACTGTTTACTTGATTTAGATGTATCTCTAATTGTGGGCTTAAGATAGCTCAAGGTAAACCATTTGAACTTCATTTATATGAAAATCCTCCTACAAATTCGCAAATAAAATGGACAATAACAGTCAATGACGAAGTTATAGAGCCAAGTCGTTTTGTAAATGAACAAAAACCAAATATTCTTTTAATGGCAGACCCACAGTATCAAAAATCAGCCTATGTGGTAATTACGGCTGAGAGTATGCAATTTTTTAAAAAAAATTTATTATAGTGTAATTTTTAATATAAGATTAACAAGAATTGTTTTCTTTCAGAACGTTCCAGCATAATTATGTATGCTGCAGAAATGAATGAACTACCTTCAAAAGGAGACTGTGAAGTTAGCCCTGATAAGGGTACGAGTTTGACCGTTTACCAGATAATGTGTTTCGGTGTTTCAGACCCTGATCCTTTACAATTTTCCCTGTATCAGATTGTAGGAAGCAAAAGTAAGC